GTTAGTATATTAATATTTTTTTAAAATAACTTCATCTGAAACTCGAAATCGAATACAAAATCGGATTCAAAATCGAATACTAAAATCGATTTTCACTTTCACAGAATAGATTATTTTTCACATCCCTATTCATTTTATAAACGCAACCGGCCATTTCGAATGTGGATTTTGCCAGAACAGTGTGTGTTCACAGTGATCAAGTGCAAAATATCAGTTAAAAAGTCCTTACTTATTACGTTTTTTTTATTTTTACGTGAATGTGCGTTATTTTATTAGCATTGTTTTAAAACTTGGCATACATACTAGACACTGATTTCTTGCGATCATTTTCAGATTTCCTGTAAAATAGGTGAGATTTTTTTAATTTTTTTTTTGTTTCCGGCGCGCAAAATTTGTGGGGGGTGATTACTACACCCTTCCCCCCTCCTCACACCCCCGCAACCCCAAATTTGGGCGCATCGTTTTCGCATCGTTACCTTTTTCTATAAATTTAGACATTCAAGTTGTAAGACAAAGTGCCATCAAAAGTCTTGAGGTGCTGATAACTTTTTTTGACAAGACAAGTAGGTACCTAAAGCAATATAATATGTGACAGGTTGTCAATGTCAGTATGACCGCATTGTGAACAAATTTTTTAATTTCATGTCAGTTTTTATTAACAATTTAGTTATAATAGTAGTAGTAGTAAAAGTTTCATAAAAACTTCTTATAACTTCTGCTCCCTGTTAAGATTAATCTTTTGGTAAACCACAAAAAATATTTGTTCGGTAGTTTCTGAATTCGGAAAAATCTTTTTTGAATTGTGTTAATCTTTTCTGATCGCCCTCACTAGTTTTTTTAAATGTCAATATTTCACTTAATTTATTGTGTATTATAGTCATTGTATCCATTAATTTATTATGTGTATGTTTTCCTTTTTATTCGGCAGGATCTAAAGTGTTAGTAGACCAAAAAAATAAGAAATTCTAACTTAATTACACTTAAAGCAACTTTAAAAACATATATTTTTTAGACATAACAAGGTATTAATCTATTCATGAACATTAAAAAACTTTAGGTAGCTATTGTAAAACTATTTAACTACGTAGATATAAATCCTAATAGGTTGAGTAGTTGAATTATATTCGGGAAGAGGTTAAGAGGTATGGATAAGGCTGTAGTGGAATTCCAGGCTTAACTAAATAAAAACCATGTTTTACGTTAAATAATCACGCGGTGGTAATTTCGATATTTATTACTTTTTATTCTCTTTAACAACACATACTCAATATATTACAGAAACATATATGACAATCAGATTAGTAACATAGTAATAGGTATTATTTAATGCGTATATATTCAAGGTTCGTTCAATGTCCGTTTTCACTTTTACAGTATTCATAATAATAACACAAATGACGTTTGTCGGTGCGTCTCAAAGATAAAACAAACATTTCCTTATAAAGCACAAAACATATTGCAAATTAACAGCCTCCAACCTCAATTCGAACTATCACATTCCGCAAACAACAATAAATAAATAACAATAACATAATCACAGCGAAGTGAACATTGGCTAACGAGGATTATTCCTATAATTGGTTATCAATTAATGACTGAAGGACCTTACCCGACCTAATGAGATCTCATTACTATGACGCCCGAGCGACGTCTTAACTAATATTCACAATCATTTATGTACAAGTAAACTGACTAGTGTCTCTTAACTTTTATCTGTTTTTACAATTATGTTCGATCCCCGTAACTTCCACCCGTCAAAGTCCGCTTTAGTATTTGGCACACACCCGCACCTCCTACAATGCGGCAGAAGGGAGGGCGAATTATTTAACTTCCTATTTACTTCCGAGAGGGACCTTCTCCGTAATCTATATGTGAGCGTGAATCAGAAATATCGTCCGCTTGTGTGCCTATAACTACGAGATAAATACACAGTATTTACAGTTATCTATAGAGACGCGTATGAGACTAAAATCGTTCACATTACAAGTATAAACTTCTCCTTACAATAATTTAAGCATACATACGAATAACAGTGTTAAAATTCATTTTAGACTAGAATTACGGTCTTAGTGATATTAGTCTGTTTCAATGTAAACGTGACGTCTCAAAGAATTCACACATCGTATACAACAGTTGCCAAAACAGTTCTACGGTCCGCTTCTCCGCACACTTCACTATGAACTCCAGTAAGCCCCGTCGTCGGCGATCAGCGCGTCTGATCGCTTTCGGCGGCGCTCGGCGAGCCTTAAATGGGGGTCGGGAGCACCGTAAAGTCTTGAAGAGCGTTTTTAACGGTCTCGTAGATGGGCCGGTTTTCGTCGGGGCAGTACCCGTCCGGGGAACAGAGGGTCTGCAGTTTGGTCAGGTAGGAGTCGAAGTTGTCGTGGGCGGGCTTGTCCCCCGGCGCGGGCGGCGGTGCGGCCCCGGGGGCGCCTGATGACGTCACGTGTGCGGTTCCCCCGCCGGGGATCTTCACGTGCTCCAACAGCGTTATTACGTTATTTCTCAGACTCTCGTAGTACTCGTTCAGATTGTTGTTTCGTTGCGACATCAACTGGTTTTCCTGTTGACAAACGTACTCCATATAATACAACGAGAAAAAGCAAATTAATTCGATTCATTCATTCATTTTGAGACATTGAGTGGCTACCGGATCGAATAGAATAAGTAGTACTCACTAAGCAATGTTTTGCGTTGGACGTTAGGAGGACTCAAAGTTGGATGTTTGAAGCCATGACAGTACCATCTACGTTACGACAAAAATATCCACTTTGAGTGTTATATTCGGATCTAATTCACACACTCACTCAAAAGCATGAGAGACTCTTACTCTTTCCCCGGTGCTGAGATGTGACTCCATAGCGTTAATGTCAGATTTCAGCCGCAGCATTTGCGACTCGACCCTGGCGTTCTCTCGTTGTAATTCAGTAATTTCTTGTTCCAATGTCATGAGGTCCTCGCCGTTGCCGGTCTGCATGTTGATGTCCATGCCTGCAATTATGGCAAATACAAACATAAATAATAAAAATATTCATTTTATAATATCAATTCTAATCCAACCTATGTTCAAAATAGAAATATATACTCACTTGAGTACGGTTTCGGATAAAGAGGCGTAATATCATCTGGATATTTCGCCTTTTTGGGTTGAGGCGTGGGCGTCGTGGCGCCGGCTACCGGACACCCTGACAGCGAGCGATGTGTCAGAAAAGACCCGTTTATATGTCCGGACCCGTCACAACCGGGTGTCGGGCAATTCACTCCATCGAATTTGATCGCCGAAGCGGCGGCTGCCACTGCCGCCTTGTGTTGTTCAACTGTCCCGCCACTTTCGAGCACCCGCATTTTGTTTCGATTCGCTATCGGGCACCCGGATGCACTATAGGATAAAGGTAAACTTATACTCTTATGATGCATAACATCAGCGTCATTACTATTGGCGTTAAATATTGGATGGGCTTACAAATTTACTACGCCTGTTATACTCTTACATTAAATATTACGTCATTAATACCTATGTAATTGAAGATTTGTATAAAATTTCGAATATATAAAAAAATGGTATTTTTTTAAATCATATTAGATACAATTTTGTAAATTCTGCCGGACGGGAGGTCTGAAGTCAGCGAAAGCGTTTTGCTTCTCAGTTGTTGAATTTTCACCCACATTAATTTTTTTTCTAGATTTCGAAAAACGTAAAAATGTATTGGGTCTAAAGAGAAGCAATGGGAAAGAACGATTGACCACTGAGACAAACACCTACTGCAGTTGTCGTACAGAATCCACTTTTCATCGTAGGTAACAATACGATTTAGAATTCCGTCGTTTCTAAGCCGACTTTCTCGACGCTGTCGTATCGTCGACGCGTAAGTCTCGTTGTTGGTTGGTTAGTTCGTGTGCCACCCACTTATCTACGTTTTATATCTTTGCGATTTGACACTTATTCCAAGACCCGCATCAAGCTCAGCCGTAGTTTGAATTGGATCCGCTTCCACTATCGCCTTCAATTCGTCGTTGTCGATAATGGATAGCGGCCGACCGCGAGCAACGTTCTTTAACTCAAAATTTCCAGATTTAAAACGATTGAACCAATAATGGACCGAATTTATGCAAGCAGTGTTAGGCCCGTAGACGTTAATTTGTCGTATTGTTTGCGCACCGGTATTTTCACGTAAGAACTGATATTCGAAAATTTTACCATATTTCAGTTTATCCATGGCGCCAAAAGCTATCACAATTTTACAAAAACAAAAAACTATATAAAAACAAACTGAATTTGAAATTAATTAACACGGCTTTCGGAAAAAAAAATATTTGAATTTCAAATTGCGTGCCAATTCGTAGATAATTAAATCTGTAAATGCTGGTTATGGAATCTTCAATTACATAGGTATAATAAATATTACATGGATACAACGGTTCAATTTAAATGTACCTTTTTAATTTTTCCTTCTCTTACCTTCTATGTGATAAAAATTTCCCTGTAGCATGTCCAGATCCATCACAACCCGGAATGGGACATCTAAGCAGCGTGTAAAGCGACAAACTCATTGCAATGGTTGGTCAAGAGAATGCGACGTTAATAAAATATTTTGTTTTACAATGTTTAATGAAAATATTTACAGAATAACGATGTATTAATCATGTGTGTGTGGTATTCTATTGATCAAGTAGAGGAAAAGCCAGAGAGTCAGTTCAGAAACTATGCCTTGCCTTCACGAAACCTAATGCCATAATAATTTTCCCTCCCCGACCAATAAAGGAGATCCTACCTGAGTGGTTCTGAATCTTGTCCATCTCGGGGTTTGCTCTTGGGTTTGTTTGCCCTGGGACAGCCGGACAGGGATCGGTGTGAGGAGTAGTTCCCTGTGACGTGACCTGACCCATCGCAACCTGGCGTCGGGCACTTCAGCTCTTGTGAATGGGGCTGGAGTTGAGATCGGTCGGCGCGCGGACATCCAGATAGACTGCACATATACAAACTGCTTACAATGGCGTGTTACTGTATCTTAACATACGATATATTTTAATCATTTATAGAAATAATTGCGAAAACGGCTTACACAGTTTTAACTATTTTAGAATTAACTAATTATTTTCCGGGAACACGTTCGTAATTTTTAATTCAGCAACGGACTAAATTAAAATTGCTATGAAATGATTTTAGCTTTGTTTCCCCTTCAACCGTCATTTCTAGATTGTCGGGAAAATGCATTGCATAAACCAAAAGCATGATCAGCTGATATTGAATCATATAAAATGATTAACCTAGGTATTTATAACAAATATGAGCTTATTCTTATATTTGTGTAAGTAGTATAAATCGTTAGTAAAAAATGGTAATTACCACATCGACAAACGCAACATGCAACTATTTTAGACGAAGACGTTAAACGATAATGTGACAACCTGGTATGATAATATTGACGCGTTTAAGCGTACTTGTGTTATTTTTAGTTGCCATAAATTATTATATTACTAATTGCCAAAGTCTATATACGATGAGAGCGAACAAACGAAAGTTTACATAATAGTAAGTATTCCTTATTTACAAAACAATAATAAGATATTATACCTGAAGTATAACATCTAAGAATAATTCATAGTATGTTGGATTATTTTAAGAGAAGTTTACGATTCGGTATGCTCCTAATTTGCGTAAGAAGTTACGTCTATTTATGGACACTATGAAGAGTATAAACAAATCCGGAAGACGTTTTCGAGGGTACAGTAAAGCATTGCGTTTATTTTAATCTCAAAATCTATGAAACGAGAGGTTTTTAGAGCACATTTACAATGTTTGACTATCTTTTTGTTAAAATTGTATACTAGAAGTAGTAAAAATGTGCCATCGAAATTAGAAACAGGAATTACCACCGTCATGCGGTTAGTCGAATCAAACTCAGCGGGTGCGGAAATGCGTGTAACTAGGTCGTCTAAGACTTATGTTTAGTATACAAATGCTCTGCGAACATATGAGACTGCCAATTTCACGAATATCTATTGCATTCTCAGTGGCCCTTGCCTGCGATGAGTGGCGAAATTACCACTTATGTGCCCGGAGCCGTCGCAGCTCTCGACCGGGCAATGAATCAGCTCTCTCGGCTCTCGTATGCGGTAACCCAGTTTCCCATAAAAGTCGTCACGATGATAGCTACATTAACAGTTTATTCAGAATGTGTTAAGTTATTGTCTCGCTTCAACCGTAACCTTGTTAAAAATCCAAGTAAATAATTAACATTGATTCAACTGATTAACCTACTATTAAAAGTTGGCGCGAACTGAGTTTCGTTTACGTGAATTGTTTAAATGTCAATATGTAGAGTTATTATCGTGTTTATAGGGAAAAATGTTAAAATCGACACGTCATTAAAATAAACTTTAATTAATCACAATCTTACCTGCTTCTCCGCATGTTTTGTACTTGTATCTTATCAATATAATATTTTATCAGCGCGTGGGGAGCGCGCGTCGTGCGCGTACGCCGGTATATTTAGACTGATCCGTCAAGTGTGACTTACGAAGTATAAATTCGTAATTCCGTATGACGCTACAAGTGTGTCACTATTCAGGTAATAGTATACAGACAGTGTGCTCAGTGCAGACGTTCGCATTAGCATCTGCATTTTGTCTCTAACAGAATTAATTTCTTCTTTTTGTGTGTCCTTGAGTTTCGTATTAATATCCATTCATTGTACGCAAAACGTTTAAATATTTCGAATGGAATAAAGATAAAAGAGAACACGTGTCAAGGTTAAACACTGGTTTTGTGTACGAACTATTGTAATTGTCGATGAAATCAATTTATTAAGCCTGTCAATAATCGTAGTCAAATGTAGCCAAAGTATGTACTAAGTATTTCTCGTTTGATCCGCCATTGCAAGCAGTTGGATGTCTTAATAGTAATTAGAGGTCTCACTTCGATTTTTCTAATTAATAAGTTTATGACTGTATGCTTTTGGTTCATTTAATGTATTAAATCCGAAGATAAATTTGATCTATCTGGTGAGTCGTAGGAGAAAAATTATAAGTGAAACGTAGTTTGTCCCAGGATGTGCTCGGTTTTACATTCTTATAACTTAAAAAAATACTCTTTTAAGGCGTTTAGGTAAAAGTTACTCAGAATTAAGTGATAATTGTTAATTGTTGTTTGTTTCTCATTAAGACTGGTCGTAACCCGTCTGCGTCCATTCTACTAATAGATAACTTCCGATTATATTTAGATTTATTATACGACCAAAAAGATTATATGAACATTTGTCTATTGTTAAAAATTCAGAGACCCTGGAATCGTGGAGCAAGTGTGACTCTCGTGGCTGTGAGTGTCGATATTATATTCACCTGCTGTCCTTAGGTTTGTCATGTGGTGCGTGAGGCGGTGGCATATAGCAGGGCGGTGAGTAGGGCGGCGCGTGTGGCGGATAGGCAGGCGGCGGCGGGTATGCTCCACACTGGTACTGGTAGCCGCCGTAGCCCGCCGCTGCGGCCGCCGCCGCGTAGTCCGGTTGACCTAAACCGTAGCCGGCGACTGGGTGTGGACTCACGCCTCCGTAGCCTGTTAAATATCGTTCCATAGTGTTAACTATTTCGCAGAACTCGAACCAGTATCGTTTCGTCGGATATGTTGTCGAACTTACCTGTTTAAGTTTTTCAATTATTAATAAAATGTGGCAATGCACTTACCTACTAAATATCGTCTTCAGTACATATTTTAAATTACAAATACAATGTATACCTACACATCTTATGCATTATTAAGCAGGACATAATTATATTTACATTTAAATGTAGGAGAAGTTTATTATATTCTTTAATAAAATAGAATTTTCAGTTTATGATAGGCGGTGAAGTATTAAAGCGGCACAAGACGCCTGCTCACAGAATTAGCAATGTAGCGTGAACGTGTTGCGGCGAGATGGCAGGGGCCGTGTTTTAATTTGTACTGTGTTTTACGACTCTCCGGAGTCCTGGCGACCTGTTTATATTATACATGTGTATAATATGTTACGTTTTACCGAGCAAAAGAGAAAAATATGGTTTTGGTTAAAGTCTCATTTTTACTTTCAGTGTCTCTCGATGACAACTATTGCTGAAAAGCAGTCGAAACGTGATATTGATTTTGTTATTTTATTGATACAAATAGAACTTACCCGCCGTATCTCGATGATATGCCTCTAGGTAAGGATGGCTTCCGCCACTGTCTGGTGTAGATTCCCGACTATACGTTACACCGCCGGGGAACGCTCTACTGCAAAAAAAGACATGACATGATATGACATTGAGCAAACACGCGAGGATACAGCGTTTAAGGCTAAGTCTAACGAAGAATGCCTCACCTATGTGGTAAACGGGTGACGCTAAGGTCGAGGGTCTGGCCCTGCGGGCTGGGCACCTGAGGGCTGGCGGTGAGCTGAGGCGAAGCGCCCGGCTGCGGGCTGCCTCGCGCCCCACCGGCGCTACTGTACACCGGGGACGCGTAGGGACCCTGTCGTAACAAGCGTGTAAGGTCAAGTCTTATAGAAGAGCAGCCGCCGGGGTGGGCACCTGATGAATATCGGGCCTTAGATAGTTTCTCACCTGTGGACTGCCACTAGACGAGGACAGGTCTATAGCCGGGCGGGGATCGCGGGGGTCTCTGGGCGTCGGGCTCCGTGGACGCTGCGCCTGCGCCGCGGCTATCTTCACGGAGAGATTGATCGCGGAGAAACCCGTCGGGACGCCGGCCATCGCTCCCACACCGCCCACTACCCCGCCACCCGCCTCGTAGTGGTACATCGGTCTGGACACACATATTTATTTAGCCCGAACGAAGCCAGCCATTGTCAAACTTATTTATTTTCCGCAATTAAAAAGTTAAAAACGCAAAGAGACCCGTTTACCACATAGTAGAGCGCTCGATAAGAGTGAGACCTACCTAGGATAAATGGGTCCGGAGCTGGCATCCTGTTCCGATTGATCCGTTTTCATCGGAGTGGGTAAGTGTGGGTCGTGGTACCGTTCTTCCTCCCAGCCGTAGGGCCGCTGCGGACATTGAGGGTCGTACCGTTCGAACGCCGTGGCACCTTCGTAACATCGAGCTTCGTAGCCGTACCGTGTCTCATTCATTTGGCTAGGAAACAATGGGAGAAGTTAACATGGTCTTCGGTCTATCTTTAAAAATATCATATTCAATCTGTCATGTAGGACTATGAATCTTTTTTTTTTTTCGGAAAACCTCACAGCGAGTGGGCGCAATATGTATCAAATCTATTTTTGGCGTCACTTCGATAGATATAGGTATATCTTTGCTTAAATGTAAATGTTCCAAAATCACCTAAACGGGGATTAATAGCTCACCTATATGACCTGACATGATCATCTGGCGGCCGCTCATATGGCGAACGCTGATCCGGCGGCGCGCCGTAGCCGGCGTGGCGCGTCTCCATGGCGGGAGATTCGCGCTCGGGCTCGGCGGCCTCTCGCTTTGGGACCAGCAGCTCGGGGGCTTCCCGTTTCACGACTGGACTTTGCGGCGATGCCGCTGCTTCCGGCTCACGTTTTTGTGCCGTGCTTCCGGTGTCAATTGTCGCACTCGGGGCAGATATTGATGGAACTGGTGCTGATAAAACTGTAAAGTTATAGACATGTTTGAATCTATGCTTTTATAGAATTGACTAATAAGTGCCTTGTGGGTTAGTCTGTTCCTACAATTTCTACCAAACCGCTTCATATTTCTTTACTTATTTATAAACACTTCGTTCCAGTAATATAAAAAGGAAAGGTAGAGTTATGATATGGGATTTCAAGGATAAACTTTTCGAAAAAGCGTAGCTATAGCAGCTATGGGCTCCCAAAAATTGTAAATCGTTTTTGAGATTTAAGAAGAAGTTTTAGTATTGAACAATATCCTCAATTAGCTGCTCTTACGATAAATTTCGATCAATTAAGACCCCTTCTAGAAGATACTTATTATCAAAAAAAAAAAAAATTAATTACGCAACCAAAAGAAGATAGATACTTATATTTTAAGAAATTCTCCAGACAGCTTTAAGAATGTGGCATAATTAATATGTACTTGCATGTCTTAAACCAAAATATAGTAGCGTATCTATCAGGCGTAGATGTCTTCCTACACCTACCTGCCTACATTATAGAAAAATGATGACCAAAACATAAACAGAAAACCAGGAGAGGACATGTGGTCAAGGAGGTTTGTAGGTACTAGTTTGTTTCACCCGAGACCAGACCTCACGTTGAAGTCGATTAATCTATCCAAATAAAGTGTTGCATAATTAATGTTATTACCGTACCAATAGGCCTAGCACGTTGGGTCCTGGCAGCAGCTTTCCTTGCGGCTGCGGCAGGGCAACCAGATAGAGACCTGTGCGTGCTTCGATTCGAGCTAACGTGGCCGCGACCGTTGCAACCCGGCGTCGGGCACTTTAAGATTGTCTCGTGCAACGCCAGTACTAAAATTTGGTTATTTCAATTATTCATTTCAGTTCTAACCGACTAAAGAAAAATTATTTTTTAGTAGGTAACTTCTTCTATTCAATAGTTTACTACAAAAACAAAACATAACCCAAAGCCACGGGTTGCTTATGCAATATAATATAAATTAACTTGTTTGGTATTGGTATTGTATAGTAAAGTCACAACCGAAACAGCTACAATAGCTAGCTACAACTAAATCGTTAGAATATACTTACTCTCTGGTGTAACTTTATCCTTTCTTGGACATCCTGACAGACTGATGGACAAAGGATTATAAGATTTAGTTTTAGTTGGAACTATGTTCAAAATAAATGATTAAGTTAGTTTGTTATTAAGATTTCCACTTTTCAGTCGCAGATGTTGACTGAAAAATCATGAAATTACAAAACTGACCTTCGGTGATGCGAGTAAAGGCCGGTGACGTGGCCCTGCCCATTGCAACCGGGAGTCGGACACTTGTTGCCTTCTGTGGACAAATCGATGATGATAAATTATTATTTTGTTAATGATTTGGTGTGGGCGTGAGGAACGATCGATACGGGCGGGCGTGTCGCTGGGCGTACCTGCGCGGTGCCGCCCAGCCGCCCGCACCCATCCCGCGCCAACTTCGAAGAAAAAAATAAAGAACGCCAGGCGACTGCGCGGTCCGACTGAGGTTTTTTCTTTCGCGTAAAGTGGGGCGGGACGCGGACGCCCCGCCCATTACTCTGACCCGTTTTTATTGCATGACGTAAACTCATTTTACGACGCAAATCTTTATATACATTTTCCACGACGTCCACATAGTTCGGGCTCTAATGTGATTACACCCGAACAACATTAGACGATAGATAAAGTAGTATGCTTAGCCGTAAAATGTAATTATTTATTTCAATAAACAACAAAATTCTAATAACCGACACGGCCGCGAACGTTGAACTGCTGAGTCTACGAGCAAAGTGACTTTGAAACAAAGTTCTCCGTTAAGTTCAGTCGTTATGAAGTTTGGTAATGGTTGACGCGGAAGTACCTCTGGAGGCCGGCGGAGAGAGTGCATTGAGCGGGCGCGAATCGCGCGTGGGTTGCGCCGATGGCACGGTCCGAGCCTCGTGCAGCGCTGTGGCGGCGCGGGAGCCTAACCCGGCCGGTTGTAAGATCGTGTATTGTTTAGAAACTTTCGAGTTCTTCTCGTGATCATTGGAGTATCCGCCGAACGGCTCACTCGGAAAAGACGTCGTAGGAATCTTATGCTTCACCTCCGCGGGAGGCTTAAAAGCAGACTGTGTGGAATACGGCAAGGCAGCCGTGGCCGCTTTGTAAACGTTGTAAAGCGTCTGCTTATTGACAGACATAATCTCTTTCCGCTTAGACTTAGCTTCCCTTTCGTCTTCGTATCTATCATCGTTTCTGTCGGACATGTCGATTTCAAGTTCATTAGAAGAAGAATCGGCGAGATCATCGAAGTTATTTCCATCGTAATTATTACTCGTTTTACTATCCCTTAGACCGTCATCGTTACTGTGAGTTTCCATTTTCTCTAAGACGACATTACTAGATCCGACGTTGTCGTTATCATTAGCTTCTCGTTCGCCGATTTGGTTGTGCAAATCGAAACTTCTTTGTGAGCCATCCGTAGTATCTGAAGATTGTGACGGTGATGACGGTAACATTTTATCTGATCGCTTGTCAAGGAACAAAGTATCGAAATCGTTATTATCTTCGTTATCTTCGCTATTAATTGAATTTCCATCGCGGGACCAGCTGGGTAAAGAATTTAAAGCAGAATGCGTCCTCGGAAGAATATTATTTTCTTCTATGGGCTGGTGAAGATTATGTGACCCGGTGTAGACTCGACAACGCTGGTCGGCTTCATCGCGCCTCTCGTCATCGAGAAGTCGCCGTCGTCTTTTACTCCCCGTGTCTTCATCCATCGATTCTTCGATGCTGCCTTGGTTGTGTTGTCTGTCAATAATTCTAAAGGCTTCTACATCTACTCCAAAATCAAATCTTCTTTTGTTTATTTGCGGCAACGATGAGAACGTATTCATCGGCGACGTCCTGTAACAAATATCGTCATTAGACTAAACATAGGATAAAAAGAAATGCAAAGAGAGATATAAATGGTAAAAGTAAAAACGTACTTGCGTATCGATTTTCCATCCACAATCAGAATTTTTACGCGGAAATGATTCTCGGTGTTTCCAATCGACGTATCACATTAAATTCACTCGGTCGTTATTTATTTGCACAAAAATCGTTCCCACGTAAAAACCATTTCACTCAAGAGCTTTCAGACCAATTATATTTCGAATAAGATTAAAAAGAAGAACTTGCAACAAAAGTTTTATCTCTAAGAAAATAGTGTCAACGTCGCCAATGGCATAATTTAGTCGATTCCCGAATACCTAAATGAAAAATACAAATTTTATTTATCTATTACAATATTTATAACTTCGTAAAGCGTAAAAACGTACTAAGTAATTTACTAACCAAATAAAAAATTGCATTGAAAAAGTTTTCTAAAAGTTTTTGTGATGCGCTTGTAATGACGTAAATAATAATTTTGTGTTGTCATTAGTCTTAACTTGACATAAACAAAATGTGAAGGAGATTTGATATAAATAATATTAAGGCTGATTCGTCAGTAGTTGTTTTGTCAACATAAATAATATAAGCCTGTAAGTGAGCTTGAGAGAATGGCCAATATATATTCGGATAGTGGTGTAAATATGTAGTTACGTGAGCTCCCCGAAGGCTGTACCGATGTAAGCCGAGATTACACGAGACGTGGCCAGTATTCCAATGGCCCTAAAGGGTTGTAACGTGCGACTGTGCGTTTGCGAAAAGCGCTCGTGTGTTCCCTTGGAGTAATTAGATAAACTCCGAGGGTGGTTTAACCAGTTTAAACTAGTCGTAGCGACCTTTATCAACGGGTGGCGAGTGGCGGGTTATCTCGGGGCCGCGTTAATTGTAATGCCTGGAGATTAAGGCACGATATAAGTTCCGCTGCGTTATATTGCGGAACGCGTTTGGATTACGCTAAGACGCTACGTGTGGGGCTCTGTGATGATATCGTGTATTGTCGCCCAAATGCCTTTTAAGGCGCTTCTTGAATAAGGGTAACCGACAAAAGCGTCCACATTACAATTCAGATTATGTATTTTATTGAAAATGTTAAGAATGCCAATAATTTAGTAATTCTTCAACAATGCCATCGAAAATGAAAAGTGAACGTGCGACCCTTTCCCGCCCTCGGCAATAACAAACACGCGACCTCCCACGGGTCCCCAGATCGCGTCTTAAATTCAAATTGCACCTTAGAATTCTTAATTATTGAAATCATAAATCAAAATGTGCCGTCTGGGCGCGCGACCATAAAATTGGAGGGAGAAGCTCGAGTGTGGTAGGATTAAGACATTATCACTTTTCTTTGGAGCACTCGCGCCCTCGTCGGCTCGGCTCGACTGTAAATCAGTGGCTAAATCCTCTGGATTAGATTCATAGAGTTGCCGCGGCCTGTGGATCGTGAGGCCGCGATAATGGCATCGTGTGCTTGCGTGATTTCGCTTTTAAATCGACTCCCGCCCGGAGATAAATACGCTTCCAATTTACTTCAATCCCCAAATAGACTTCACAGTTTAAACGGACTTGATAAGGCGAATTTATAGCGAGTAACAGGCTCTGGATATCGAGTGGACATGTTTTATAACGTGATAAGTAAAAAATAGTATAATAGGTACTTATACTCTGTCTCGTTATCTTTGTATTGGGCAATTAGTTGTTCAAAATAAAGGTACGTCGTTGGCAAAAATCTTAAGCAATGAAGACCGACAAAAACATCGACCAAAGTCGTAACTTTTTTAATTTTTAACAATTTTTAGGGTTTCTCTATTTATATCAGTCAGAATTTGTTACGTCAAAGTTTTTTTCAACATTATTTCGACACATCTTTGGGACTTCTTTCTTATATTTGCTTGCGTAAAGATATTATTATTATAAGATTATAGATTGTACTATTCATATGATACGTATTGAAACTACATTTGTACATATGACTGGTTCATAATATTATGTATGAAACCACCCGCATCGTTAAAAGTATCTTAAAAACTGTATCTCTTGATATCATCATCATCATCATTGAAAGCAAATTATGAAATTTTCTTCAAAATTAAATACGTATCTAAATAATCATTAATATGATTTTTTTTTAAAAGACCTTGGGAAATAATTAAGTTGACTACGTTCAAAAGTCAGTCATCCTGGGAGTATGCCTAGATCGCAGATTTTATCCATTACTTTTACCGTTTACGTGCGTTGCACGCAACGGAAGCTGTCAGATACCCTGGGCCTTTAGAATTCGTTGATAAATGAAGTATGAACTAGAAGTTCCTAAAATTAGCGCGATTTACAAACTAACAATTCAGTTTCTAAATAAAAGAATAATACTTGATATTGAATAATTATATATTTTTTTGACTAGAAACGAATATTTTACAATAAAATTTAGTTTTTGATTTTGGATGGCTTTTTATCCTTAGTATAGTACGTTTATGTCCGCATCACAACTTACCTACCTATATCCATTAATGAATTACCAATTCATTAAGAAAGCCACGGAAAAAGACAGTAGCAGTTTTGAGTAGCACCTAATTTTTTTTACTTAAAATTAGATATAATCTAATTCAGATTAATTCTCTTTATTTCTTGATGAAATCGAACTAGGGCGTAACTTAATAGTTATTTGTGATAATTGTGTTAACGTTGATTTGTGTTAATTTTTTTTTTTTTTTTTTATAGAACGGGGGGCAAACGGGCAGGAGGCTCACCTGATGTTAAGTGATACCGCCGCCCATGGACACTCTCAATGCCAGAGGGCTCGCGAGTGCGTTGCCGGCCTTTTAAGAATTGGTACGCTCTTTTCTTGAAGGACCCTAAGTCGAATTGGTTCGGGAATACTTCAGTGGGCAGCTGGTTCCACATAGTGGTGGTGCGCGGCAAAAACTGCCTTGAAAAACGCTCAGTTGTGGAACGTCGGACGTCGAGGTGATACGGGTAGAATTTCGTATTCTGCCTCGACGTCCGATGATGAAACTCAGCTGCAGGTATTAATCCGAACAACTCCTCTCAACACTCTCCATGGTAAATGCGGTAGAAGATGCAGAGTGACCCCACATCTCTACGCAACGCCAAAGGATCAAGCCGCTCGGAGAGGGATTGGTCGTCGACGATTCGAACCGCTCTGCGTTGTATACGGTCAAGTGGAAGGAGCTGGTACTGGGGAGCCCCCGCCCAGAGGTGAGAGCAGTACTCCATGTGGGGCCGAATTTGCGCTTTATATAGTTGCTTGCGGTGGCCCGGAGTGAAGTACCGCCTCGCCTTGCTGAGCACACCAAGCTTTTTGGAGGCTAATTTAGCCTTTCCCTCCAAGTGACCGCGAAACTGAACGTCGCTCGATATGTCAAAAATAGTTAATACTCCACCGTTAAAATCGGATTATAATAGAAAATATTAAAACCGGTCCTAAATAAAAATAAGGTATATTAATAATTATATGTATTATATTAAATTAAAAATATCACAAAATACGTAGAAATTTAAAACATTCGTTTTTTTAGATTTAATAAATATATGGAAGTTATTTTTATTAATTTATATGTTATGGTAAATAATTTATACTACTACGAGAAGAAGATTTGTTTACGTAATACATTCAAAAACTACTGGAACTATTTCTCACTGAGTAATATATTTAAATGGCAAGGCGCTAGTTAAATATTGGCAACACTAATCTGACATTAAATCATTAATAGTGTCATCGAAAATTCATACGTCAGTCAAGTAACACAAAACATCATTCACCGATTGGACGATTGTAAATTCTATGTCCTCGCCAATCTAATCCTCTCACTGAATTGGAGTTTAATTTCGTTAGAGATTGTTTCTGATCAAAATATGATACATAATATATGTGTTGTGTAATTTATGAATAATTGTTAACACGTTAAACATTGTAACAACTTGATGTCTGTTGACATATTTACAAGGACGTTATAGGAACTGGTGCGACGCCATCTTGCCTAGGGAATCGTTTTGGTGGGTTCTTGAAATTATGATTTTTTTTACAATCCGATTTATTTAATGGAAATAAAAATAAGAATTTATTTACCTATTTCTAGTCTTAAATAGATATAGATAACCTATTTTCATCAATGTTATAAAAAGATACACCAAACAAATATTTTATCCTAATGTTTCTATTTATTTCTGCGTCACCCAAAGGAACATTAGAGAATCGAATCTCAAATCATCCGTCCGTTTCGTATGGAACATTTTAACACACAAAGCTGGTCAGTTTCTGACTTTCAAAAGTGCCTTTTAGTGCCTAATTGAAATAAATGATTTGAATTTACTTCACTTGTTTTTTTTATAAAAATTAGTTGTAAAAAGAAACAGTATAGTATCTCATATTTTTTTATATATCTGCAGCAAAGAACAATCGAAGCCTTCAAAATTATCTACAATAATTGTATATTCAGAAAATATTTGTATATAGGATTATCATTTACAAAGACAAAAATAACTGAAGCGTATAACAAAAAGCCAACTGCCAACATAAGTACACAATATTTTACTATAAAATAAACGATAATCCTTCGAGATTTTCAATATCAGTTAAAAGTAAATGGTTTAAAATACGCATTGAATATAAAAATTACACATAATTATATATTGTTGTATAACTCGGTTCTTCTAATAGATTATAATTAATTACATTCTGCTACAGACTGGGCAACTGCTGCTATACAGTAATAAATCAATGCAAGGTGAGTCGTTCGTTTTAATTAATATACTATATTATAGATATACTGTTCTCTACATTGCAATATATTACATAAGGTGTACTACATAAATAGCAGTTAAGCTAACGTTCATATTAAAGGCTTCAAACTTCAAAGCATCGATTATAATTTAGACAAAAGAATCATATGATTGTGAAAATCAATATCGCAATAGTTTAACTGAGTTTGAATAAGTGGGGTAATGG